TCCCCATTGGAGCACATGTATTACATGTGGCAAAAGGAGCTTGATGGCTGTGTGAGGACACACAAGATATGTAAGGTGACAGTTCAGGTTGCCTTACTCTTTAGACTCATCCATTGGAAAAATCCTAAGTATTTTGTGCCTGGTTACCCAAGAGTAGATATTTTACTGCATATGGTGCAAGACTCAGGATGCCATTGCAGCAAGAGGGCTACCACTGCCTAAATCCAGGAACCACAGGACAAGCTTTTTAATGTGCTTCTTTGCCCAAAAAATGGTTACATGTTGAGCAGGAGCCAGTAGTTGAGATAATCTTAAAATGTTCTAAAGAAAAAAATTGGGAGTGAGAAGACGCTATCTAAAAATCATTGTGGTTTATCAGGGGAATAAAGACCTCACTGATCAATTCGCTTGAAAAATTAATAAATCCAGGACAAATGTAGTTCAAGATTAGCATCTTAATGAACTATTGTTGTCACAGCCTGGTTTGGACATATCGCTCCTTTGTTGACATTTTTAATGCTTTCTGTGGATTACCAGTACATGACCAGTATATGAAAGCTTGTTAAGCCTCCACGTGCTCAACCTGGCCCTAGCTTTAATACTGGCTTAGTGCAATCCCTGCTGTTGGCACAAGCTCTGTGGGACTGGAACCTTGTGGTGCTGGGCATTGTGTTTCTACTTAATCATCATATGGACCTACTCAAGTGTGTTTTACAAGCTTGGGCAATTTGTGAATGCCCAATTTTCTATATGTAACTTTTCTTTTATAAGAGAAGCCAATCAGGGTTTTTGTTTTTTCCTTTTGTCTTTTTCTTCCTTTTTTTAAGAATTCTGCAATATCATTCTGTAACTAGTGGGGAATGCTTTCAGCCTGGCTTCCAGATCTGGTTGGTATTTCCTTTCCCAATTAGCAGAGAAGCCTGTGCGCTCATCTTTTCAAATTGCAGAGCTCTTGCATCTCTCTCTCCTGGTTCCCTGTAGAGAATTTAAAGTTCAAAATGTTTTTTGAATGCCTCAATCTTATTCCCATTCAGGAAAAATCTGTTACAGCAGCTTCTAGACAGATGCAAATTCACGTTATGTTTGAAAATTCACTTATTCACAGACCTTTAAGCTGTGCAGTGCTACTTCAGTTTTGAACTAATTTTGCTGTCTGCTATGAGTATGAGGTGAAGTTTCTGATAGTGTACCTGTCTATTCCTTTCATTCAGAGAAAAGCAACAGAATATGTATGAGAAACTCACTGTATTGTTTGCTTTTTTGGTTGGTTTTCCTTTTTCCTTTCCTTTATTTGCAGTTGTAATTCTGTGGTCCTAAACTGAAACAAAGAGATTTTCCTTCCATAAAAAAAGCTGCTGGCATTGCATCATGCAGAAGTGGTTTAGAGTAGTTGCTTGCAGTATGCATGTGCAGTTTTATCCCATCTTATTTTTAAATGGTTATCTGTGCATCCCTCTGGTTCACAATCCTATTCCAAAAATACCTGGGGTTTATCCTTATCATATTGCCCAGCTAACAGTATGAAATAGGCTCAAGTGGCTCAGTACAGATTAGATTTACCTCTTATGCAACAAGGTACAAGATCCAGGGAGAAGCCAGAGACCTGCCTTGGAAGAGCTTTGTCCTCTGTGGGCCAGGGAATCCCTTGGCAATACCCCTTGCACATGTAGAGAGTATCAGGTTGCTTCCCACCAACTCCACTGGAAGAATACTGCACTGAAAAGGGATTCCTTTGTTCACAGAGGCCAGGATAAATAAGGTCTAGAGGTTTCTGATTCTTATCTTAAATAACTCAAAGTTTTAATTACAGTTTTTGTAACCATATTTTTAAAATTTGATTCCTTTCAAGTTTACCGGCTTTGTCATACTTGATAAACAGGACAAGCATCTACATTTGTCTCTTCAAAATATGTCCTAACAGATTCAGGCTTTGGAAAAAGCACCCTTTCCAGCTCCCCAGAGGGACATCTCATCAGTTTATTGGATTTTTCTGCCACTTTTACAAGGTTTGCTGAGACTGCTGCTGTTTTGAAGGGGTTTTTTTCCCTTTCAACCTCAGCAAGCATGTTTTCTTCTCTGCTTTTCCCTCCTTTCTACCCCCATTCCCAAGAATCAAATAATTTCCCTGTCCCAGACCTGCAGATAAGGTTAGATGTGTGTTTTGTGAGACAGCATGTGTCTGTTCTTGTGTCTGGAGTTCTCCTCCTCCTTCTCCACCTCCTCCTCCTTCTCCACCTCTTCCTCCTTCTCACTTGTCCCTGCTCACATTTGGTAACCTTGTTTTGACACCAGGAAATGTTTTGATCCTTTACTATCAACACTGAGTGTGGGTATTTGGTAAACTGCTGTATCACAGCCCACGGGGAGGAATTTGGATTCAACGTGTTCACTTGGCACTCTTAGGTCAAAGATGTACAAAGATATACCCCAGGGCAAAAACTTCTTAGGGTCTTCTCATGGCTGCAGTGGCACTATGTGAATTAAGTTTCATTAAGCTTATTCCTCACTTTAGTAGAGAAGAAAAAATCTGAGCCTGGTTTCCAGAGATTTCATGTAGCTTGGGGAACAACAACAAAAAAAAAAATTCATAGACTCAAAACCTGTTTGGTTTTCTCCTCCCACCACAGACTAGACACTTGCTAGGTAAGTAGGGAGCTGGAAGGAGATACCTTCTGAGATTGTCTGATGCAGCTCTGCAGTTCCTAGGTTGGACATTGTGGAGAGTTTCTCCTCCAAGTGCAAAATTACTGCTTACACTTCTCTATCAGGTATCGTGCAGTAGAGCTTTTGCACTACACGTCCTGCAGATATAATTACACCTATTTCATAGCTAAACCCAACATTGGACATTTGCCCAGAATATCTCCCACAGAGGTAGAAAAAAGTAGCCCAATATATGCATGTCTTCTCTTGAAGTCACATTAAGATTTCATGCAAAACCTTGAGCATTCATAGTACTCAACTACTCCGCAAGATCTGGACAAAATGAAGGAAACTCCTTTTCATGGACAGGGGACAATTCATTCCCAGATGAGGAATATTATATCTGACCTCCTGAGCCCTATTTTTCTGTCTGAAAGTGATGTGAGTGCCTTTCATCAGCTCTCTATACAGTGATTTTTCCCCAGAACATCCTGTGCCTTGTAAGGATGTGTCCAAAGCCTTCCTGACCTGTAATGAAGTGAATGCCAGCTAGTGACCAGCTCTAGAGTCCCACTTCAGTCTGCATCCCACCAACCCTCAAAGGATGAAGAACCCAATTCTCGTTCTAATGTTAAACCTCATCTGTGATTTCAAAATATCTGTAGGTCATACCTAGAATTAGGAAAACAATGACTTAGGTCCAAAAGTGCCTGTCTTCTCATAGGACTCTGAATATCTGAAGGTGAAATTAAGGGTGGGTTAGATTTGTTATAGCTTTTTTTTTATGGACTATTCAGTGTTGGTCTTCATTATTTTTTTTTTATCCTTTTGAAAGCTTTTAGAGCCTCCTGCATAACCGCCTCTGCCCCATTCAGGGCTGAATGGACGGTGCGCTGATCTTTTTCTCGGTGGGTAATGGATTTGGGTTGATTGCTTGACACAGGGACAATAGGGGGGTAAACAATTGCCTTCGCACCCGTGCAGCTCCCCATCTGTTGAGTGCGTGCGCCTTCAGAGGCAGCCGGGCAGGGACAGATGAATGCACCAGCCGAGCCTGATGTTAATGACATCAGTCATACAAGCAGAACATGTGGCGCAATAAATCAAAAACTAATTGAACTTTTGGTTGATTATATTGCCGTCCCACTGCCTGCTTCAAGCACGGCATGGTTTCCTGGGACAATGCCCCCAGCCCTGCAAAGGCTTTGCTGCCCCTGGACAGCAGGAGCCTGCCCTGGGAGGTGACAAGTGACAACAGCTTCTCTTCGTGCATTGCTTTCCTGAGACAGCGACACCTTCCACTCAACCAAAATGCTTCCAGGCTTAGGATGTCTATTTGACCAGTATTTATTATTTCAAATAAGAAACATTAATCAATATGACAGTGACGGCCCATGTTCACTGGCACTTTCCATCTGGGACTGTTGGTGGCAGACATCTCTAGGAGAAGACAGCGCTTGTTTTTGTGTTAATTAGACACACACGTGGTAGTAATGAAGGCTATTCATTAGACTGATATAATTTAATATCATTATTCACACTTGAAAATGCTCCAACTACATCAGTTGTTGCAGCCTGCAAGCCAAGATTTTGTCTTGTGTGTCCATGGCAGCATTAAGTCACCAGAAGTTGAGGGGGCTGATATTCATAGAGGTGGAAAGGAATAATTTCTGATGGGAGTATTAAGAAATGAAAAGCTCTGGCAAGAAGACCCTTTATTGAAGTGCATAAATATGGGATTAGACCCCAGAGCCATCAAGTCAGGAACCCATCCATGAGTGAGCCATCTTTCCTCCCCTTGCACCGACAGACATGCAGGGAGTATGGACATCTATGCACATCTGCCTTTCTTTGACATCTGCTTTTGAAATGTTGCTTTGAAAAACCCAGGATTCCAGTATTTATTTATGAAATGAAAAGGTGAAGGACAAAATGCTTTTCTTAACATACCTAGAATCATCTCCTCATTACGTGTAAGGAGCAAAATTTTATGGTAAATGTGTTAAGAGTACACATTTAACCCAATTTATTTCAAGCATCTTTGCAGTACTTCTGTAAACATTTGCCAATAGATTAGACTTTAATTATTAGCTATTTATTGCAGAGGATTCTCCACACCGGTAAAAGCAAATGTAAAATAAAATGCTGTTATCTGAGTAGAGGCTTAAGCAAGAGCTAAATTAAATCTTTGTGTTAATATTATTCATAGAAAGGCAGATGGGAGCAGAAAATGTTGCAATGAAGAATATGGAATGAGATGAGATCACAGCATCAGTCTGTCCTTTGTAGATCTGGACAATGATCACAGAGCCAGATTGGATTAGGGAAACCTATTTACCAGAAGTTCAGAGCGGTTGCATGAAGCTGAAAGGCAGTCAGTAAGGAGAGGTGGAAAATGCACCAGATTTACAGCTGCAGTGATGAAAATTTAGAAGTTTTCACTGTGATTTCTTCCAAATGTGAGTACATCAAAATCTAACAACGGTTATGGTGCTGTCTTTTAGAGGGATGGGATGTTTAGCAGAGGGGAAATATTTGAAGAGAGCAGCTCGTCGGTTCTGCTGTGCCGTGCTCTGCCTGCAGCCCAGCCCTCGCTGCTGCTTTCTCAACCTAATTCCTGCAGGTGCTTCAATACTGGGGCTCTATAAAATCTTTACTCTGGCAAAATTGGGAGATCTGGAATCGGTGTTGCTATACCTATGAGGTAACTGCTAAAGTGACAGCTTGCAACTGTGTGGCTTTTCTGTGTAATAGAAAAGAGAATGAAGTTCTGCGAGCAGTGAGAAGTGGGTGAAGTGCATGAATGTTGAATTTAAGTCTGCTGGCTCAATAAGTGGAACATTTCCAAAGCCATGCCCTGGAAATGAATGCATGATTAACATTAATTGCTTCTAATGAAGAGTAAGAACCGGACAAAGCCCAGCCTGCATTTGATTGAACAAATTAGTTTAAACTCAATGGCTGCATATTTCAGCAACAAGAAAGCAGGGAAAAGCAGGGAAAACAAATTGTGGGGCCAGATCAGATCTTTACTTGCAAGCTGCGAGCATGAGCTCTCAGCTGCTTGATTTTGGAATATAAGTGGAAATGACAAAGTGAACCATTACTGTAATTATATTTATTGCCTGAAATCTGGGCTATACGTACAAACATCCTTTTGCAGGCAAACCCACATACATCATCTGCAAGGATTTGTTCTTCTCTTCTTTCTCCAGCTCTCTGCAGAAATTCATGTTTGCAGGGACAGCCTCACAACCCCACTGTTTGCATTGCTGCCATTGTATTCCCATGCAAGTGGGTCACTTCTGGCTACTTCTGTGATTCATCCTTCTTTCAATGCCTATTCAAGTAATTGCATGTTTGCTGGTGCTGTGACTTCCTTTTCATTCCTTGCCTTTCTTCAGCCCTGTAAACATTTTGCCACTTGCTCTGGCAGACACAGAGGATGAGGGACTGTGGATCATATGTACTCTGAAAGTAGGCAAATTTATTACTGTTAGGCACATTTATGTGTTTTTCTTTTTGCACTAGCCTGGGTAGCAGCTATACCAGAGCACTTGCTTCTGATAGAAATCTCTAAAAAACTGTATTCCTTACACTGTGTGGTAAAATACCTAAAATACCAGAGAGACAAGAAGGTAATTCCTTGCATCACTAAACTTCTCTGCACTTGAGTGTTTTGCTTATGAGCAATTAGTTTAGTCCTCACACAGTGAAATTCCAGAAGTAAAGGTGATGGAAGCAGCTTCAAAAACAACTTACAGCATATTCCTAAGTTTAAAAAAAAAAACAAAACCAAAAAAACCCCACCTTCATTATGTTGGTCTGGCTTTCATCCCACACTCAACATGGTTTAAAATATAAAACAAGTCCTGCAGGAGAAGACAGTGAGGATCCCTGAGGATATCACACCGTAAATAACCTAACAGGCTGTAATCACACTGACAGCTTAGCACACTCTAGGCAGGCAGATAACTTCCTTGTGACAAGCTCAGTGTGGAAGTGCCCTGCGCTGCAGCGGGCTGCTCACAGGGACCATCCCATTTTCCTCTGCTGTTTCACTACAGCCACAGCACAGGCCAGAATTTCCTCTCCAGTGGGCTCCTGATGCTCAGGACTCTATATTCTCTCTGGGGTGTGGAGGGATGGCTGTTAGACACACCCAAGCTGTCATGGAAAGGTGGCTTTGGTCTCACTGCCAGCTCTGCTTGTACCAGAGCCCTGGGAAGCCCAGCCACTTGCTGCCATCTGAGGAGAGGAGTTTGGCTGCAGTAAGGAGCAGCCTTGGATGACCTCCAGCTGCTTCCACAGCTCCAAAACTCTGAAAAGCGTAATACACAGCAATGATAAGCACCACAAGTGAAATGTATGCCAACAATATAAAGGAAAGCTCACCTGAGGAGTTGGAGTCACCCATCATCCTGTAACAAACCTTCCTGGCTCTTCGAAGCCTTTGGATTATACACGGAGCCTGACTAGGAAACCCCCATTCACATACCTTGCCCCCAGGGTCAGCCTTTAGAACTGGAGTTAATTCTCCACATTTGGCAGCTTTCTGCAAGCCTGTTTCTGTCACTGGTGGCTAAATCTTGTAGCTCTGGTAGCCTGGACACAAGGCAGGATAAGATATGATCAGAGGGAGATTTGGGAGGATCACAGTCTTTCAGGCCAGTTTCAAGTTTAGCTCAAACAACACGAGCTTAAAGAACCTTTACTTAGTCCAGTAAAACCATCACCCAAAACCAATTACTTCAGTCCAGACTAAAGCTTGGTTTATGGCCCTGGCATCCTGTGTGTCCACTGGCTGGGGGTGCTGTGCTTTTGGTGTCTTCGTGGGTCTGAGAAATAAAGTGAGAAAAAGACTTCAAGCAAAATGTCCCAAGCTAAAGAGCTGTACAGGTCATCTTGAGGATTGAAAAATAAAAGATTAGGTTTGGTGCAAATGTTGTGCTTTGGACATTATGCAGTGAAAGTGAAACAATGTCTTGAGGGTGTTTTTGCTTATTGATAAAGTCTCTAACTGGATAAAATCATAATAGTCTCAAAGTTAATGAATACACTACTCATTTCCTACTGAAGTACTGGCAGGTGGGAGGCCAGATCAAAACTAAGGAGGAGGAGTGCTGGTCCTGGAAGCCAATGGGAGAGGTGCAGAAACTCGGGATGGGCTGTGGCCCTGTGGCCACATGTTTCTGTATTGTACAGCTAGAGCATGGTCTCTGAGATCACAGCAAAAGGGACTTTCTTTTGGATTGTTTCAGCTGGAATCTTCCTTAAACCCTTTCTTCTCCCTCCTCTTCCAACCCTGCCCCCAGTGAATTCTTACAGAGGATTTTTGGAGGCATGTGCTCACCCCCACTGCATCCTGACCATGTTCCTGTTCTTCTCTTTGCAGCGTGTAGTCCTGCCCGAAGACGAGCCAAAGCTACACAGCACATCCTAGCAAAGAGTGTAAGAAAAATCTCCTTTCTTCTCCCTATTTTATTTTTTTCCACATTGTTGGCTTCACATATCCTAAAAAGTGCTATGCAGATCTTCCAGGGTAAAGGAATGCATCCATGTCTGATGCAGGGAGTGGGGTGGGAAACAGAATGGGGAGTTTCTATAAAGATGCAGTTTATTTACAGAAGTGCTTTGAAACAAACAAAAAAAATGGTCTTGCCATGCAGAGCCAGTCAAAATGAACATAGTCGCTTATCAACACTGGCCATCTGAGGGAATCAAAGACTTAATTGTTGTCATAAAGCCTTCACAATAAGTCCAGAGAGACATGCAGGAATGAAAAGTAAGTAAATCACACCAAATCATATCAGTAATAACAATAACAATAACAATAACAATAATAATGTTAATCAAGTAGCCAGTATCTTAGGGAGTTTGTGATAAAAACACCAAGCAATGGACTGTAACTTTGACCCCATAAGTTGACACTGAGAGACTCAGGGATGTTCTCTGTTCCCTGGTCCCAGCAGTGCTTGTCTGCCCCTGCCTCAGTCTCAGTGCAGAGGGCACCCCCACATTAAAATAATTGGACCTTTTTCATGCTCTGAGTAAATATCTTGCAAGTTCAGCTGCTTTCACACATGGGTGTGAGGTTTTTTGTCTTCAGAGAGAGTTTTCTGTCCTAAAATCCACTTGACCCATTCACAACCCCTTCCACAATCCTTTTAGCTGATTTGCAGGAATGACAGTCTCTTCTGCAAATCAAAGCAGTTCTTACAAGTTTGACACTCTTCTGACAAAGCATTTCTTCTCAGCACAGTCCTATCTCTTATCTAGCACTTTGCTGAAGTATTTTGCTCCATGGCCTTCCCTTTTTCCATGCCCTTTCCTACTTCCCAGATCCACCCTCATTTTCAGAGAGCCTTTTTTTTATATTCCCGATTCCCTGATCTCCTCACAGAACTATAGGTCCTCCTGCTTACCACACTTACCTGTGCACTGGAAAAAAACCTCATCACATTCACTCCTTCCCTCTCTTTTGGTTATCAAAGCAGATCACAGGATCTCAATACATCACAGGACACATGAAGTTTTCCCCAGGAAGAGTCAGAAACACGTCTGTCATTTTTTGGGTAGAAACTATGCATGTGTATATTTTCCCAAATTATGACAGTATTGGTTTGGTTGGTTTTGTCCCATCGCTCAGGCTGAGATTTCAAAATTACTCTTCATTCCAAAGTAAGATGAATCAGACTGCTGGAGTGTTATTCAAAATAAGCCATGTTGAGATACCCACTTTTATTTGTTAAACCTTTGGTTTATTTTGTTTTCCATGCAATATAAAAACAGCAGAAAAGTCCAAACCAAAAGTGAACTATTCTGACTTGATGAAACAAAATGCTCAGATAATTTACTTTTTTTTTTTTAACAATATTTCTCATAGTACTATTCAGCTGAAAAAATTCAGCTGGCTTACACCAAAATCAAAAGAAATTCTATATCTGTTATCTAGTTCCAAATCTCAGTAGACAGTTGTTTGTACTAAATGGAAGCATCTAATATTTAATTTTGATTGGATCAGCTGCTGTGGTAGCACTGTGCTCATAAAAACCTAAGAAAATAAGATAAGAAAGTCCCTGTTTTGTTGCTGTATTTTAAGAGGAATGTGGGTTTTTTCCTCTGGGGCTTTCCTGACCCCAACTAAGGATCTCCTTTGATTGGCTCTTAGTCATGATGCAGGCAGCATCATATTAGCAGTGGTAACACCAAGCCTGAGGAATGGTCTGCAGCTCCAGCTATGAAAACAAGGATGGCTCTCAAACCAAAGTGTCTGACTGAGCAGAGTCAGCTCTTAGACATTTCCCTTCTTCAGTGGGATGCAGCTGCTTACAGCTCGTAAGGAAGCATTGAAGTAAATTTCATATACTGGAATAGACATGGCTGTGAGGAAGCTGTGATTGCCAATTTCTAGACCCACAAAAAGTCCCAGAATGATTGTTTATTTTTCACTTTTACACCTGCACCTGCAGTCAGAGCTGTAGAAATGCCTCAGCTAACATAAGATCTTCTGCTCTGGTGATTGCAGTGGATGCACAACTTTAATCCTCAGCAAGAACAAAAATAGCAACCAACCTGGACATCTGCCAGACCTTTTTTTTCACAGCAGAAATACTCAAGCAGTGTAGCATTAAGTGATTTAACATTCAAATTACTGACTGTGGGGGGTAACTTCCATCACAGACAAGAACTCATCCCAAAAGCATGATAATGACTGGGAAAGGTGACAGAAAGGAGGAAGCACCATTTTTTTTAGCTAAGTGTTTCACCAATACGTACATTTTCAGTTCCCATTGCCCTATTAAGATTTATTTCCAGTGGTAGTAGATCCTTCCCTTCTCTTCTTCTTCTTACCCCAAAATCCCTTGGGTAGAAGTGTCTGGACACCAGTACCTGTCTACTTTGCAAGAAAGTAGAAAATACCCCTGTGCATGCTAGAGCTGTCCCATTAAAAATCAGCTCAGCATTAGGCCATCAAAATAACTTAACTCTACAAATACGGAATTTTCTCCATTAACAAGCACATTGTTGTTCAGACTCTACCTTTCAAAGTTTTATTCAAAGCCAGATATTTAATTGTCACCTTTTCTGGATGGTTGTTGGTTGGCAGTGGGTTTTTAAGTCCAGGATCAGGTGGTTGGAAGAGCCTCTCTGTGACTGTCATGTATCCTCTGTGCCCCTTCCCTCTGAACACAGCTCATTCCAACAGTGGGTATGCCAGGCCTCAGTGGTCTCATGTGCATGGCAAAATCCAGTAAAAAGAGAGTTTGCTGGGCTCTGATTTCACAGTCAGTGTTCTGCAAACAGACCAGGCCAGTCAGGTTCTAAAAACAGTAGGTTTTTAGAGAGCAGTTTGTTAATTCTGCATAGTTTGGCTGACTCTGCCATTTGCACAGATTTAAATTTCCTGGTGTGTCTAGAAAAGAAAAGTGACTCCCAGTTGATCCTTCTGCCTTACCCTAGGTACCCTAGAGAAATGTCAGCTCCACTTTAGATCAAAACCAAGCTACAGCAGGTTTAGTTTCCTGACCTAGATAAGTCTTTACATATTACAGTAATGTGTGAGGTAGCCAAAGTCACTGTGAAATCTTGAATTAGGAGATAAGGAACTCCAAAAATGTGCTAAAACCAAAAACTGAAAAAAAAAACCACCCAAAAAAGCTGCTGAAAATATGTTATAGAGTTGTCTCCAGCTGTAATGGAAAATGGCACTGTAACTTACTTATGCAGGTTCTGCTGCTTTGAAGACATTTTGGTATTACTGGTATCATATATAACAAGGAATCTCAAAAACATAGACAACATGCCTAAATAATTCTTGCTATTAATCAAGATAAAATTCCTCTTTTTTTCCCCAAACTGTATTTCATCCTGTGCAACATGTAGGCAGAATGTTAAGTTTCAAGTCCATAGTGGTTTACACTGATCAAATAAGCCACTTTCAGGATTAGAGGTGACTGCAGCCAACACCCTACTTACCAAAAATGCTCTTTCCATGACAATGCAAAATAAATGATCACAGGTGTCTCACTAGCAGGGCACTGATGACATTTTCTGTCACACACCAGCAAAGACTAAGTGTGACCAAGAGCACTGGACATTTTTCCAGAGATAGTGGGAAAAGCTGACTTTTGTGGCATTCCTTGAAAGCTGGAAGAGCTGTGTTCACACGAGGCAGACTCCGAGGGCTGTCATTAGAGATCCCTGCCAGGCACAGTCTCATCATATTAGTTCTGAGGACAGGTGTCACCCTGGTGAGCAGCTTGTAAGGTTTGTGTGGTCAGGGTGTGTGTGGACACAGGAGCCTGCAGCCTGCAAGAAGCTGCTGCAGAGGGACAGGGAGGTGCTGGAACTGCTCCAGGGGCAGCAGGGAGGGATCCAGTGCCAACAGATTAAGCAGCAACAGGAGGCCTCTCACAACCAGCATCACCCTTGTTCTGAAACATCAAGGCAATGCTGAGGCTCAGCTCTGTTGGCAGCTCCAAATTTGTGATCAGTAGAGCTGGGAGCCAGCTGCAAACTTCTTTAGCATGTGCTTGTCTTCAAGGACACCAATAGTCCCTTTAACTGAACACTGGGCATGTCTTTAAGTAGTTTACAGCACATGGAGCGTGTTAGGCTGTGTGTCAAAATCTGCAGAAACAGGAGGAAACCCCTATCCAGCTTTGGATTAGGCTTTGTTGCCTTAAATGCCTTTTCCATAAGTATTTTTGCCTGTTGTTAGGCAGTTTCTGCTCCTCATCCTACTAGTCAGTAGGATTTAGGTAATGTGGGCTTGTCCTGAGGGTAAATGGAGACAAAAGAATTAAAAGTGGTTAGGTTGGGATTTTTCTTCTTTCCTGTTTTGGAAAACATGGGTTTGCATATGTTGTTAGGTCTGTGAAAAAAATCATATACACAGAACATTGCAGATTAATGGCAAATTGAATTAAAACTTAATTAGAGGAAATGGACAATTTGGCATGAGGGAACATGCCTGAAAAAGGTCTTGTTTTTATCTTGAGTGTGTGTTAGAAGGCAGAGCAATAGATAGAATTAAGGCTTTTTCTATGTCAATAGTGAACTGGCCAGTTGTTGGTCTCAGTCTTGAGGCAAACTTACTATATTTATATCTAAAACACGTAGACAGCAGCTGCCAGTCATCAGTTCGATGCAACTAACTGCTTTTCTCATGATCTTCCAACAGAAGTCTAATAGGAAATAGTCTGAATAGTTGCCACATGTCTTGTTTCCTTGCTGGTTTGGATCTTCACCCTGTTTGAGTGGTTCTCTGTATGACAGCAGCAAGTCTTTAGGAAAGAATAAAAAAAAAACAACAAAGTATGAAACACTCTGTTCTTGCTGCTGGAACTTTGATCTTCTTGAGAAAACTCTTTCCAGTTATCCAGACTGGATAACAGTCCTGACAAATCCACTTCTCTGAGGTGTATCCCTGTTTTTCCAAACTCACATTAGCTCTGGCATCCCCAGTTGCCCGTAGCAGTACAGTGAGTGCCATGGCTTAGTCGTAGCTCATTAGAAAAGAACTTGATTTTGTTCATGCTTGTTTTCAGGGACTGTTGGAGATTGGGGTGGGGGGCACTGGAGAGGTGATGCTCAAAGTTGCAGCTGTCAGTGAGTTTTGTCTGTGCGAGCTAATGTTTGTGAAAATTAATCTCTAGGAGCACACCTCCTCTCTGCCTCCTATTCTCTGTAGTCATTTATCAGGTACAATATGTAAGTTCAAAAGACAGGAGAGACCTGTAAGGAAACACCATTTGTAATTCACATTGCATAAGTTTGACTGATTGCCCAAGGTGTGATGCAATAAGAAAATAAATCTGAGTCTCAGAGGCATATCCTATTCTGCAGAGCTTGGAAAGGGGCACATTTCCGTCTCCTGAGGAGAATATAGAAATGCGCAACTAAGTAGCTGGGTCCCAGAAAGACCCAGCAGGATTTTCCCATACTTCTACACACAGCACAGAAACTGGAGCCAAACAAAATCCCACAGTCCCCACCTGACGAAATCCCCTCTGGATGACAGCAAAGCAGCAGGAAGAACAAGCAGCCTTGTTCCTGACCTCGACAGACCGGGGGTAACGGGTGGTTTGCTGTCCCCGCAGGTGGCGGCCGCGCCGGACCGCCGGGCGCGGCAGGGCGAGCCGCGGCAGGCGCAGTGCGGGGCCCGCGAGGAGGCGGCGCGGGGCGCGCAGCGCGGTAAGTCCACGCCAAAGCCCTTCCTTCCTCCCTGCCCGCGGAAGGGTTTGGGGTATGGCGGTCTGCCGGTTGTGCAGAGAGGCAGGCGCTTTGTTGTGTACCTGGAGGATAATCCCGTGCTTAAAATATCCAGTGGAATTCACGAGATAATGACCGTGGCATTGCTCAATTTATTCAGAGTCATAAACTGGCTGTATCCAGAGTCATAAACACTCCCTGACAATATTTTAGAGATGATAAATTGTAAATTACTGAGTTTGCCTGAGTCATCTTATTATATAAGGTCGCTGTTCGGTTGCTTAGAATCAGCTAGAATATAATCATTAGGGATGGATTTTCAGATTCTGGATGTTAGCCACAGACCTGATTTTTTGGCAAGCAAAGCTTGTTCAGCATATTTGTGAGAAACCGTGAAGGAAAAATAGAGCTTGCCAATACAAAACCAAGGAGATGAGTAAACATAAACAGAGTGGCCATTCAGCTCCTCCAACACTGGTGTGTTTTGTTTGGAAGACTGAAGCTGCAGCAGGGCTGTGCAGTTTCACATAGGATGGCCTTTTAATCAAAAACACATCTTTTGGTCTCCTTTGAAAAAACACCTAGATGCAATCAAATCGTATTTCTTTAAAGAAATCCCACATGGCATGTTTTTCCAAGATAAATTGGACATTTGGATGTTAAAAGATGCTAAATCTCTAAAGCAGGTCCATGAAGGTGCATGTTCCTCACATCACTGGTCTGCAACCACACTGCACATAAGCCATCCCACTAAGAAACAAACCAGACAAGGGTGGGGCCTGGGAAACTGGAAAGGAAGAAACTGAGCCTGGGACCATAGGAAAAGACCTCAAAAAGATATCGGGACTAGAGCCAAGATGTGGCTGAAAAAGAACTGGAGCTTCAGGTCTGGAGCAGGGACAGGAGAAGGAGTGGCTGGGACTGGCTACAGGGTAAAGGGTAGCAGACAGCCAGAGAAGCAGAAAGGAGGGACTGCTGGTCTCTGCTGTTAGGGGAGACGAGAGGTAAAGGATGACAGATAGGTGCAAGTAAGAGAAAAGCTGTAGGAATTTAAAACAACAGCAGAAACGGGGGAAACGGGTCTGATAGAAGGAGAAAGGGAAATGAGTTGGCAGAACTTAGAAATTCAGTTTAAATTAAAACCAACAAACAAGCAAACAAACAAAATAACACAGATGAGACCATTAGCATGTTTATTACTACCATCAGAAATCCTGCACAATAGCAGGGCAGTCCATTCCAGCATGTGAGAAGGCACTTCTGGAAATGGAATTCACACTGCATCCAGCCACCACTGCCCTGAGGGGAGCAACTACAAAACCTTGAAGCCATGAAGCCACAAGGACTTTCTTTTGCCTAGATATTTTGCTAAAAGTTTGCAAGAACATTTTCAGTACCTAATAAGAGGAACAGGCTGCAGGGAAGAATCAGACAAAGTAAGAGAAAACAAAACTAAATAAAAATAGAAAATATGGGCACTGGCTGAAGCACTGATGATCCACTTGCTGAATACTGTTAGTACCTAATATGCACGATGAGAAGAGGTAATTGCATTAATTTTGACTTGAGGGATACAGTAAGGTACCTAATGGAATTACTGGAGGGGGGTGGAACAGGAAGAAGGATGCTGGTTAGGATATTTATCACAGCCAAATATTGCCCCCAGAAGGAGGAGACAGTTCCAATTGCTAAGTCATGCTGGAGACAGCACTATAAGCAGCAACCTGGCTATTTCCAAATTTGCTGCTGTTATTTATATTCCATTGGTCAAAGCAGTAGAGAGGCCCACATTCCCAGAGCCAAATAGGAGGATTTGGCCTCATGAAAAAATCTGGCATCCCTCTTTCATTTATTTCCTTGGCACAGTGAGCAGGAATGCCAGTGAGCATTTATCCATGGATAAGTTATCGGATGAACAATTACTTGAAACTGAAGGGTAACCTTCAGAGCTGAGGATAGCAGAGAGAGAGATGTCGCTCAGCCGCAGGCAGAAAGGTGGAAATCCCTCCCTGTGATGGGGAAGACACAGCACACATCTCTGCCCAAGTTAAAATAACTCCCCAGAGCAATACAGAAAGGAGAAGAATGATCTCCTAGGCAGGACAAACCTGCAGTGTGGGCTGACGAGCAGCATTTGGGCTCTTTGCTTCTAGAAGTAAGTGTTTACAGAGGGGGAAAGGGCTCCCACTTAGCTTGGTCTGCTAAGGGCAGCTTGCCATCTCATTTAAAAAGTCCAGGAGCAAGCTGAGAGACTTTCCAGAATGACTTAAGCAGTTCCACAATCACTTATTTTGACATCACAGTAGATGATCGCTCTGCTCTTTTGGCTATAATCAAATCTGGTGGGACTGTAACCTGTATCTGGGCTCTGTCCATATCTGGGCTTTACTGCACGGAAGGAGGTTTTTCATACAAGCTGTGCCAATGGGATAATTGCTCCTAATATCATGTTTCTTATGCTTTACAGTGGGAATTTCTGAAAAAGAGTCATCCAAGTCCTATAATCATCTGTTGGATGGAAAATCTTTGGTAAGCAAATAGAGCAACACCAACTACCAATGCATCTTAAAACCTTGTACCCATCAGCATGTCCCACAGTAACAGCATGTCAGTCTGCTGCAGCACCTGCAGATTTCACAGCCTTTGTTAAAGCTTGAAACATAATTTATGTCAGAGGACTCCTTAGCTGTGAGCAGAGACTGCTATAGAACAGAGAACTGTCCCTCAGGAACCAGGAAGAGTGGTGGGACACAAACAGGCAGCCTCCTGTTCTGGATGTTCAGCCACCTGCAAGAGCTGGGAGAAATTAGCCTCTTGTCCCTCAGGGAATTTCACAAACTGGGGAAAAAAATTCTCAAGTGGAACAAGCGTCAAATAATTTGTTTTCTCTGGACACAATTATCTCCAAAGTCAGAAATATAAATAAAGTGTTGATGGGAAAATTATCATACGAACCCCCAAAATGTGTTCTCTAGCAGACAGAAAAAATATTTTAATTAATAATTACTCACCTTTACTAAAATGTTCTCCCTCCCCTCTCTGTCTTACAGTGCTCCCCTAATTTTCAAAGTCTCTACATTTAATAAAACCTAACTTTTTCAAAGAGAAAAAAATGTTTTGAATAGTTTCTGACCAACACCAGACTATGCTGTTGCAACTTTATGGTCTCAGAGGCCCTTTTGAATGGCTGAAGCCTGCTTACTAGCTGATAGCTGGGGTACACTTAAGAAAAATAACAATACAATACTTAAGGATGGTTAAAACTAATGTTATTCAGTGTAATGAATCTAATTGAACCGACTAATAGTTAACATAGTTAAATTTCAAAGTATGCTTGCAAAAGTGATTTCAAACATCTCTAAGTCTTAGGATATTTTAAAAACACACATAAATGTACCCAGTATCAGATTAATCCTAGAAGAAATAGCCCCAGAAATCTTAAGACCAATTATGGTAGCAACAATAATATGAACAGTTTTTTTCATGATTACCAGTAAAATCAGTAAGTATGCTTATCACCTGAAATAATGAGATCACCTCACAAATTTTGACTTTTTTTTTTCTTTTTTTGAGCAACTCACACTTTAACTTAACATCTTGGAGGATATGCTATTCTCAGATACCTGTTTATTGGAAAACGTGACTCAGTTCTGGTGGGTAATTTATTGTTGGAACTCAAAATGTCACTCAGACATTTTTGGAGGTTCCAGGTCCTGGTCAGAAGCATTTTATACCCTGGCAGGCATCTGGAAACAGCTGTGATTTTGAGTTTGAGCCATGGAATGAGTTATCAACTTTGAAGGTGGAACAAGCAGTCACAAAAGTTTAGATATTATAGTAGAGGTAGTTACAAAGTAGAGGGGAAAATTTTTTAGTATTGTACAGGGGGGTTTTAGCACCTGTACAGGGGGGTTTTTCTTTGTACATGGGGGTCAGAAGTTTTAAGATGGAGGAAAGTGGGCTGATCCTGTTCTTCCTCTTTCTTCTTCCTTGCCTCCATGTTCTTGGTAATGCTGGCACTTATGGATTGGTTTAGAGTAGAAAAGCACCTTTTAATATAGGTAGTAGGTATTGGGGGGAAACTGTAAACATGGAACACATAATATATCATATAAAAGATAGCAGCAGCCCTGGGCGGGGGGAGAGAAGAAGAAGACAGCAGACAGAGAGGATGTCAGGGTGTGTGTGTGCATCTGCCTGGGCTGCTGAGCAAACAGCCACAGCCATGAAGACAATCTTTTAGATAACAATAAACTGCCTTGAGACCGAACAACAAGAGGCTGCAGAGTTTTCTTTGGAAGCAGGGGTTGGAGGAGAGACTTTACCACCACACGGAACCCCTGAACCAGGACTGGGGGTCCAGCAATTTATGATCAAATAAGACAAGGAGGACATGGATGATTAGGCCCTCGTGGGGCCATGGCAGAACTGGAGCATAACCAGGGTGCCCTCACAGCACAGAGCAGCACACAGCAAAACAGGGAAACATCTCTGAATGCTCAAGGAACTGAGTGATGGCTGTGACATCTGCTTCCCAGGCAGTTGTAAAGGTGGGGAGCAGCAAGAGACAGGCTGCTCACGCTGCACAAAACCTCACTGCCTCAGGAAGCTAAGCAGAAAAACTAGGGAATAAAAAGTTCTGCAAGTGTCCCTTCTTTGAAGGGAGGTGTAACTCTCACTCACTCAAGTCCTGTGCTGAGCTCAGTGAGAATATTCACGTGAGCAACTGGTAATTGTGTGGGTGAGAGCTGGGCCATCAAATCCCTAACCTGCTTTCTCTTGTTAAGAGATTTACAGCATTTATTGGTTTTCTTAAAACAGCCTCTTTCCTCAGATGAACCTGTGTCCCCACTCATCGGTGGCATTTCCTAATGCTGTGCTTTATCCTCCCACAGATTCCCCCATCTCCAGTTGCCCGTATCACGGTGAAAGCTGTGGCTGTCACGAGCTCGCCCACACGCAACCACGCTTCTACAGAAGAGTAAGTCCCTTCCCACCCTCCACACATGCCTCTTGTTTCCCAAAGGCAGGGAGAGATTGGTAAAGGTTATGCTGATTTTATTAGTAGCCACGGCCATTTATACAGCTGTCTCAGTGCCCATTACAGCTCTATGTTATCACTAGGAAAGAAATAATCATAATTCAAAATAGAAGTATTTTCCCCCTAAGAAGTCTGTAATGTTTGCCCTAAAATGTGATTAGGAAATGTAATTAATTGAAGAAAAAAATTATATCTTAAAGTCTAATTTTAAAGGAATAGCTATAGCTAGACCATAGTACAAATGCACTCATCACCAGGCAGTTAACCCAGACATGAATCTGGGTGGGATTTGAGATGCCACCACTGTCACCTGAGGGGCAGTAACTAGCTCATTGTCACAGTGTCCTCACACTCCATACACAAGAGACAGAAGTTCCCCTCAGCCAGTGGAGCTCATCGCTGTCACATGGTCCCTGGGGCTTTGGTGGAAGGGCCCAACACTCTCCTTTGACAATCCCCCGCTCTTTGTTGGGTGGCAATTGCTAGAGAGGATGCACTTAGAGTGGTCCCACTTGTAGCCTGTCCCCTTGTGTCAGTGTCCCCTCTGACAGTGAGGGAACAAGGGCACCAAGCTGAGTGATGGCAGCTGCAGCAACCCAGCCCCCTGGCCCACATAGCCCCTGCTTATTCCAGACTTGCTGGTCCCAGGGGTGGGCCAGGCATGGGCACATGGTTCAGGCAGGCAGCTCCTGGTTCTGAGGGGCTGGTTGCCATAAGCAGGGAAGAAGGGCCAGGGACAAGCTCTCTGCACACACCTTGTGTTTTATTTGTTTGCCACAGACAGCGCTGGAGAAAGACAACAGAGTATGACCTGGCCCTGCCACCAGGAGCCGAAGCTTCCTTACCACTGACAGGAGGCAACCTGTGTGGAACACCCAGCCTCCTGAGGAAGATGTGGATGAAGCACAAGAAGAAGTCAGAGTACCTGGGGGCAACAAACAGTGCCTTTGAGGCGGACTGATAAGGGTCAGCATCCATTGGAAGGGCAGAAGGTCCTTTAGCAGGACAAGGTGCTTTAGGATGAATGAGGGAACAGACTCAGCACAGCTCATCCAGGAGAATGATATCCTTTTTATTACTTGATGCCATTGCCTCAGAACAGTGGAAGAAAGGCTAACAAAGGTAAAAATGGTGAACATGATGCAACTCAATGGCCTTTCCTTGTTGCATTACACTAAAATCCCAACAACCCCACTAGATTTACATCTTGACTCAATGCTGAGACTACTGCTGACCCATTCCCAATTTCCTATGTCCTGTCTGAATGAGCTTGGACTTGGCAACAAGAGAAGTCTATGAAGAGGTTTGAGTATTCCTGCAAGGCAACAGATTGACTACAGAGTGCCATTAATCCCAGGGATCTACTTGTGTGCACCACTGCCTGTCATCTTCCCCTGTCATATCATGAGATAAAAACCTTATCTTATGATATGCTTGACACATATTGTGAATGACATATGCTAAACATCTCTTTTCCTTCAGTTTTGATGTTTCAAGGCAGGAGTAAAAGATGCAAAAATTCTAAAACAAGAGGCCAGAACTGAGCAAGTTTTCAAACATACGTACCAAACTTTGCTAAGTAACAAAAGACTTGTGTTTTAAGTTTTCCTGCCAGATCAAGCTATGAGCAACAGGATAATCTCAAGGGATACTTTCTGCCATATAACCTGCTTTTAAGTGAAATGGTAGTCAGCAATTTACCCTCTACCCATGGGGTAAAGGATATTACATTAAGTGCACAAAATACTAGGAGGAAGGAAAGTATGTAAATGGTAAAACTAGGTGACTAAGTATAAGATATTTGCATGTAAGAGACCTGTGCTTATGAATAGATGGATGTAATGGGATTTGCTTTAAATTTTTTTCTCTCTCTTTTTTTTTTCAGTTTAGAAATTGCTAGTCAGGTGTTTTCAGTTTTTCTCTCAAAAAAGAATGAAACAATTTTACAAAAAAGTTTTCACCACTGTTATGGACAATATTATATTAGTCATGAGCAGTACTTACCTTCTGTGAGTGTTCTCCTAGTTATTATAAAAAACCCACTGGTTTCCCTAAATACAAAACTTTACATTTAAATTCAGAGGAGGCGTATCTCCTGTTTATAGTGATGATGACCTCTAATCTAACCGCCAATGCACCAAGGCGTAAATTAAAAATAAAGGTCTGACTCTGTGTCAGCGGCAGAAGGAAGGATCTCCCATCTGAAACTTGCTTGTCTGCAGCCAGTGCAGTGAAAAGCACTGAGATGCCATCACAGACAATGCCATGGTAGTGGGGGGCAGCTGGCCCTGGTCAGGGGTCACCACCTCAGGAGTACCAAGGGACCTCCTGGATGGGAGGGAAAGACAGCCAGGACTTCTGGCTTTGGGTTGAGCAGGGTGGAGCAGCACACAGGAGAGGTTTGCAGCTTGACAGCCTGAGCAACCAAAGTTCATGGAATGGGAAAACAAATGGAGCGGGCCGGTAGCTTTACAGAGCATATGGTCCTGATGGCTGCAAGGAGGGATGCAGCAAAAACCTATTTAGGGCTGGATATGGTGGAAATGGTAGTAGGATGGGGATGGAAGTTCTTACTTAAAAAGAACTGTGGCTTTTCATAGTGCTAGAGCCAAGTCAGTCCAGAGTGTGCCAAGGAGAGAGAGAGGCACTACACCTTCATGACATACCTCTGTAAGCCCTCCTGTTCAGCTCTCCATCACTGCTCCAGTCACAGGCTCCTCCATCAGAGGTGCTCAACTGGTCAGAGGAAAACTTCGCACCTTGAAACCACACAGATTCTCCCTCTTCATTACCAAGGGTGAAAGTCCTTCTCTGGCCCAGCAGCCCAAGACTGGGATGATCTGCTCTCCAACTTTTATTTCTTGCTCGTGGGAAAGAAGAACACAGTTCCTTGTGTGCCACATGCTGGCAGTGGTGACCCAGTGTCAACCATGTGTTTCTCTGCCCTGGCATGAGAGAGCAATGCTGACACCCACTGAAGGCTGCACACCTGAACATTCCCTGCAAGAGGTTTCTCACAGGGGTCCACCCCACATTTAAATTAGACCCTGGCACACTGATCCTGTGCAAAAATCCAAGTACCCTGACCCTTGCCAACATCAGGTCCTCTATGACTGAGCCAAGCTGGAGCCATGGTCAAGAGTTTCCTGAAACACTTTTTACAAATATCACTAACCACACTTCAACCTCCTCCTCAGCCCATAGAACTCCTGCCAGAAACCCATATATGTCTTTTTACATATATAGGTAAACCTAGTAAATTCAGTGGGACTGCTCCCCTACATAGCAGTACATACATTCAAAGAGTTGGGAGAAGACCAATCACTGCTTCCCCTTTTTGTTTTCATTTCCTAAACAAAGGAAAAATAAGGATGATGGACAGACACTGGGAAAAGTCCTTTTACTGAATTAGTGTAATTAAGAGAGTGAACATTTGTGGTACCTGCCCTTGTAGTTAATATTGTCCAAAAAGTACTCAAACCCAGAACAGCAAGAGTTTTGCTTGTTGAGGAAGTTGCATTGTAGTAGTAGTATTTATTTGTTAATTAATAGCTTTGAGCAGTATGAGGATAGAGGTGGAAATTATTAATATTTCTTAATAATTGCTGTATCTTGACATATGTATTTATGCTTTTCTTATTTATTTATTTATAATTTGGATTTACAAGAGAAGGAGCTATTTACAAGAAGCACATTTAATTTCCTTGTATTCCAGGAACTACTGTGGATTTTTTTTGTATTGTAGTAGATATTTATTTTATTGATTTAAAACTATGTTCTATTCTTAATAAAAAAAAAAAAGAAAGAAAAAAAAAGAAAAGAAACAACAAAATAAACAAGTAGCATGTGGTTACATACAGGTCTCAGAGACTTTTGATTTTTTGGGAAGCATTTAGTGGCAAGTAAGGGAGAATGCACAGTACTGAAAAAAGGTGAACCTCTGATAGCAAAGAACATAAATTTTGTTCTCCAGAGCCTGAAAGTGTATTTGTGAGCAGCTCCAGTTTGGTACAGTTGATAGAACCATTTTGTTATCAGATGTGCAGAGAAAAGCCCTGGCACTGTCAGCAGCTAGAAATCAGATACCCCTTTACACACCTAACCTCAAGCACATCCCAGACACGACATTTGCGTCACCTCCCTCCCATCAAATAAGAGTGCCAAGACAGAGACTCTTGAAAGGGATTAAGGCTCTGGTAGACAATAAAACCAACTGAGTTGTCAACAAAGTCACTGACCTTACCTCAAACACAGCCCTGGCTTTGGAGAGCCCCTGCTGAGCCATGGCCCAGCCTGAGGGGGATGGCACAGGACCACAGGAGCCCAGCCTAGGGAAGGTGACTCAGGACTGCAAGTGGAAAGAATTCAGAACACAAGGAAAAAAGCTTATGGTGTGGGCATGGTCCATCAACTCACACTTCACAGCTCTCCGTTAGAGGATGACATTCCCTGCCTGCAGCACTGCCCGTAGTCACACAGCTCTGGTGAAAAGTTGTCACATTTCTGGCTCTTCCATTACAGACACCATCTATGCTTAGTATGAGCAACCAGGGAGCGTCCTCTTGGTGAGTGTCCACACCACAGGAGCTGCCACAGATTTTTTCCAGGACCTGGCCTCTGCTGGGAACTCATCTGTGAATACCTGATCTCCAGCTGTGCATTAAAAATACCAGCATGAGCATGGAAGAGGATGTGGATATGCAACATATTTTCCAGATGAAGTTGTACAGAAAGCTGCATTAGGTTGACTCCAGCACACCGTCAGAAAAATATGAAAGAGTGATCACAAAAATAAGTGAACTTTATCATTTTTCCACCAAAGACAGAAGCTGTTAACTGTGCAGCCAAAGGCATTGCCTCTGGAACTACCAGACACAAGCCTGATGCCATAATTTATGACATCTGTGAGAAGATGCATTTTTCAGACATGTTTCATGTCAATTTATAATTTGGTGTTCCCCAGAACTAGAGACTGACTAGGGCACTGATGTGAAAGGAGACTGCATGATGACAGTCCATCCCACTTACAGCCATTTGTCATTTATTTCCCCCCAAAAAAGTATTTCTAATTTCTCCCCACTATTTCAAAACCATCTTTATGATAGAGCTACTCACTAAAAGATGCATAATTACTTTGCATACCACTTTATTTAAATAAACTGTAGTGAATTTAGGCTAGGCTAATGTATAAAATAATTCCTACTGATGCATGAAACAAAAAACCTCAGATATGCCTTACTTGCCTTTCTTCCCCTTTTGCTCTCACTTTACAGGTCCTGTAGCAAACAGGGTTGCCAGAAGAGTCAATCACAGACACATCACTATTTGAGGGACTACCACACACCTTATACAGAAAATATTTAAACTGAAACATTGACATCAGCAGAATAATTTTACTTCTTTAAGTTACGCAGTCAGAAAAGTTGCAATGCCAAAACTTGCACACAAAAAAATTGAAACAAGTCAGATTTTTCATATGAGATCCCTGATAAGAAACTCTACAAACAATACAGATGTCAAATAGACACATTGTCTAGGGTAAGTTTTTAGAATCTCAGCATTAACTCTAGAGATGATCCAAAAGAGAGCACCTAAATCCGAAAACTTCGAGATGAATAATGATGTTTTTCAGGGTAGTCCGAATGTCTATTTATGATTACTTCCTGTGAGTTTATTATCAGTGTCCTGGTAAACTTTCACTCCCTCTTCCACCAGTATATTTCCCAATTCTTTTGCCAGCACATAGTGAGCTAAGGTGGGTGAATGCTTGTAGCCCTGAGGAAGCCCTGTAAAGGTATATGGCTGCCCCCATACACAAAGGCAAACTGATGTTGATCCCCATGCTGCAATGGCACCATACAAAACATGTCTTTAATATCAAGTGGTCATGACCCTGTGTGCCTGTTCCTGGATGCTGGCTGTGAGCTCAGTGATGTTTGGTACAGCTTCTGGTAAGGGGTCTGTGTCAGCACTGAGGGGGCAGTAGTCTAAAGTTAATCTCCACTTACCATTTGGTTTTCACACTGGCCATACTGGGAAACTGGAAGCTGAGTGAGTGGGGAATAACAATTTCCCATTTCTTCAAGTCATCTAGGGCTGGGGCAATTCCCTCCCAGGTCCCCAGGGGCAGCCATAAGGGTTTGACATTTTAAGTTTTGAAGGGGGAAGATCTGGGGCCATCTGTGACAGTCTAACTTGGTGGGTGGTGGTTCCAAAGGACCACTGGCGCCCCACATTGTCATGCCAAGTTCTCCCTTTCAAAACATCCAGTCCCAGTAAACTTAAAAGGAAGTCCCCTGTTGCCATGGTAACAGTTATGGTAGCTTCTTCTCCCAGTAACATAAGAATAACTGCAGTGGTAGTTACTGGTTGTGACACTCCCAACACACTCACTACAAGCAAGGGTCATTTGAATTGGACAGCTCCTCAGGTGGTGGCATCTTGCTTAGTCAAGACTGATATCTGAGCCCCAGTGTCCACTAAATAGGTCAGCACTTTGGTGTTGGGTCCATCAACAGATATCTCTGTTTCCACTAGCAGTGAGCTGTCCAACACAAATCAAGCTGCTGCTCCCCTGCACATCTCAAGGGAGAGGAGCTTACAGTTTCTCTATTTTGTTTAGCACACTTGCTTCCCTACCTATGTCAATTAAAAGGGGCATGCTCAGGCTCATATTACTTTTCTCTGCACTTGGTTTCTCGGACATTTTTTCCAGCCATTGTAATACCACCTCTTCTAACTTGTCCATGGAAAAACAACCATTACATTTTAGAGATTCCCTTCTGCCAACCTTGTGACCAGATTGCCTCTTTTGAGTGGGCACTCCCACCGAACCTGATTGGCATGGGGAAGAATCCTGTGGGAAACTGCCAGAATAAATTAGGTGGTCCAGATTAGAAAGGAATATAAGCAGAAATTTTGAGGTGCTGCCGTGATCACCTTGGCATGCCTTTTCCAGCCCCAGTGTTCCTGAAGTTGTAGGCTCTTTGACTCTCTCAGCCCTAACCCTAACAGCAACTTGACCCTGGGCCAGAGGTCCTCATTGCCATAAATTGCACAGATTAAAGAGTGTGGGACTGGCAACGGTGACACCCTGCCCTGGTGCCCTTGTAATGCATTTTCAAGTGCCAATGTCCCTGGAGCTGTAGGCTCTGTAGATCTCTGAATCCCAGACTTAACCCTCAGGGCATCTGGTCTGGGAACAAGACAGGGGACTGTGCTCCCCATTCCCATGGGTGCTCCAGATTAGAAAGATGTAATATTGAGGCCCTGCTGGGATCACCTTGACATGCCTTTTCCAGCCCTAGTGTTCCTGGAGCTTGACTCTTTGATTCTTCGACCCTATCCCTAAACTATGCGGTATTCAAGACTTTTTTAAGAGGCAGAACTCTTATTTAAATGTACGGGCACACAAATCACCAATATGAAAACTGAAGTATTTAGAAGAAAAAAAAGGAGTTGAATATTTAATTCAGTGAGATGAAGGCCCAGAAAACCCCAGGAATTTAGATCAAAGGGGGACAATTCAGGATGAAATGGAAGCAGTGTGAATGATGTGCCTCTTTTTAGCCATCAGGTTGGGGTCACTACTAAAAGAGACATTATATTTAACAGCCTTTAATTAATAAGCCCTGTGGAGTAATACAGGCCCTCAGAGCTGTTCTAAAGGTGGTAGAACAATGCAGGCACTTGCTGGCAGCCCCCAGTCCCAGCCAGGTGTTTCACCACATCAGACCTCCTGTTCTGCACATTCACTTGCCTAACATTTGACTCTGCTTTATTTTAGACCGATATTTCCCTACTGAGCCGTCACGTTTTGCATAGCAGTGAAACAGCAAGAGGTAGCGCACAATCTGTCTGATGCTCCGTTTTTGGGGGACGATGGGGTTCACTGGACCATAAAGCAGAAGAGACATGCAAAGGGCCCTGCAGCATGCAGAGTTCTTTCCCCCCTGTGTCTGACGAGGCACTTTTGGGTGAAGTGAGCCCTGGATGCAGCCGTGTCAGGAGCTGATGCTGCGAAACCAAACACTCTGCCTGTGATGTGCCAGCACAAGCAAGGTGGGGCTCAGGAAACAGCAGTCTCCTCACCAAAGGCGTTCTTAGTAACAAGGACCTCAGTAAACATAGCAAAAGCTTCAGCAATTACAGCCCACTTCAGCAGTGACCTTAAAGATCATCTAGTTCCAAGCCCCTGTCATGGCCAGGGAAAACTTCCACTGGACCAGCTTGCTAAAAACCAGCCTGACTTTGAACTCTTCCAGGGATGGGGCACCTACAACCTCTCTGGGCAACCTGTTCAATGCCTCACTACCCCACAGTAAAGAATTTCTTCTTAATATGTAATCTAAACCTAGCCTATTTCAGTTTAAAGTCATTCCCCATTGTCCTATCTGTACATACCCTTGACAAAAGTCCCTCTCCAGCTCTCTTGTAGCTCCCTTTAGGTTCTGGACTGCTGCTCTAACTTTTCCCAGGAGCCTTTTCTTCTCCAGACTGAGCAGCTCCAGCTCTGTCTCCATAGGAGAGTTGCTCCAGCCCTCTGAGCATCTTCATGACCCTCCTCTGGACTTGCTCCAGCACATCCAAATCTTTCTTATGCTTCAGGGCCCCAGAACTGGACACTATAGTCTGGATCATGTTTCGTATTACTTATTTAGAAGGAACTCTTATAAATGGTGTTCATCAACATTCAGATGTTGATGAACACAATGCCTATTCATTTAGTGTCAATTGCAATATATAAAAAAAAAATCCAAGTCTGGCTAACAGCTTTTAAAAATAATTTACAAATAGAAATACCAAGTTATTTAGCTGACAACAACATACTGGAAGTGGGTCATCCCATTAGCT